AAATCTGCTGCCATTGGAGTCCCGTGGGCAGTGCACGGAGCTGCTCTCTCACAGGCGGAAAGGGGGAGGCCTCTGGGTGCACCGTCCCTCGTCACGCAGGGAGGTGTCAGGGGCTGGGGAGGCACTGAATTACCCTCCTGTGTGTGTGGGGTGGGGGGAGCCCGAGCCTGGCTGGCTTAGTAGGACCAGCAGCCCCTTCGAAGCCAGGGCTGGGGGAGGCAGGGCCTCTGCCTGGAACCAGTCTCGTGCCTGCCTGCCAGTGCCCGCCTCCCCCAGGAGCGGGGCCCCTGTAAAGCGGGGTGCTCACCCACCACCATCGCCCGGGCAGGTGCTGGGTCCGCCTGCCGCTCCCGTGTCCTCAGGGGGGGTGTGGAATAGTCCCAGGTCACAGTTTCCCCGTGTTCTGGTGTGTCACCTCCTCGCTGGAGGCGGTACCTCCAGACGCCTCCGAAGCTGCCAGGCTGGGCCCTGACTCCACGGCCTGAGCGTCTGGTCCAAAGACCGCGCTTCCCTCCCCTCTTTCCTTAAAGACACTCCGGGCCCCTCTGGGACCTGGACCCTGAGTGACCCTCATGCACGAAGGACACGCAGCAAACCTCCACGCTCTCGGCTCGGCTCCTTCCAGCGGAGGAAACGGCTCCGAGATGCTCTGTGGCTGCAAAGACACCTCCCAACCCCCCACCCCCCACCCCAGCGAACAACAGGGAAGGCGCCTTCTGGCCTCTCCCCAGCTGCCCCTGCCCCCGCCTCTTCCCCTCCCCTCCCCTCCCGGCTCAGCTCAGAGCCCGCAGGCCAGGCCGGCTCAGGGGCACAGGCTCCGGCTTCCCTAGGGCTCTGGGGCAGGGGGACAAAGAGAGGCAACACACCCACTCAGCAGGCCCCTCTTCCCGGACCCTCTCCTCCCCCACTCCTTCCTCTGCCCTCCACGGTCCCCTGACCCAGCATCTCCCTGGAGAAACATGGGGGGGGGGTGCACAACATTGGCTCAGGGACTTGCACCCCACAAGGGGCCCTGACTCTCCCAAGGGCCCCCCTGCTAGGCCCCCTCCAGCATGACGCCCTCCCACCCCTGGAGTCCCCAACACAGCAAGCCCTACAGCCGAGGCTTTGAAACCCTGGGAGGGCAGACTGGGTGGGAACCCAAGAATCCTCCCTCTTCGCGCATATGGGAAAGCCAGGGCCCAGAGAAGACACAGACCAGGGACCCCCTCCCCCGCCCCCCACCCCGCAGGCTCCTCCCTCTGCACCAGCTGCCCCCCAGGGAAGGAAGGACAGAGCTCTGGGGCTCCTGGAGGTGGAAGCCTAGGGAAGGGGCCGATTGGGACCAACTCTGTGGCAAGGAGACGGCCTTTGACCACCGACAGTGTGACAATGCCCTGTCCCCACTTCCCCCTCTGCATGCCCAGCCCAGCCCAGACCTGAGGGGGCCGCGTGTGCTGCCCAGAGTAACAGCAATGGCCGCCACTCACTGAGCAGTTACTATGTGCCAGGCACCGTGCTAGCACCCTGATTCTCCGAGGTTATTGCTAATATTCCCATTTTATAAGTGCTCAGAAGGAAGGTCGGGGAGCTGAATCCACAGGCCTTAGACCACACAGCTAAGGAGTGGTGGGAGAGGGAAAGGAGGGAAAACTGAGCTAGAAGGATCTCAGATATCTCTTCCTGGTTTCAGACCCATGTCTGTCTGTCTCTGTTTCTTGGGGCTCCCCACCCCGGCCGGCAGGGGCCACCTGGGCAGGCTCAGGTAGTCCACCTACTCCCTCAGAGGTGCTGGTGCAAGAAGGAGGGAGGAACTGGAGGGCAGCCTTGCCCATCCCAGGGAAGCTCAGGCCTGTCCTGGTCTGTAGGTCCACTCTCCCCTCATGCACCTAAGCATGTGCCTGTCCTCAGGTCACCTGGTGTCAGAGAGAGTGCATGGCCCAGCCCGTGTGGCTCAGTGGTGGAGCATCGGCCCATGAACCAGGAGGTCACGGGTTCGACTTGGGCTCAATCCCCAGTAGGGGGCATACAGGAAGCAGCATCGGGGACCACCCTCACGCCCCCCCCTCCCCGACACTCTCACATCAATATTTTTAGCCCTCTGCCTTCCTCCCTCTCTAAAATCAATAAAAAACATTTTTTTTAAAAAGAGAGAGACGATGCTTGGGCTTTGGGATCATCAGATCTGGGGTTGAATCCCTCCTTTGCGTGACCTTAGGCCCCAGTTTCTTTATCTGTAAAATGGGGATGCCTATCTAGCAGGGTTGCTAGAAGGAATGGGAAGAAGCTGCGAAAGGGTGATGAATCTGTGGTAACCACGCTGCCGGACGTGCCAGCTCGGTGGCCCTCGCCCTCCTGGGCGTGCCCGGGAGCGAGCTTCTCCTCAGAAGGAAAGAGGAGCTGCAGGCACAGAGCCTCCTGGAACGTGGCAAGGCTCCTTGGCGCCGAGCCCTGCGTGTGAGCCCTTCTGCAATTAGCTTCCAACTAAAAATACCCCCCTGGCCTGCACACCTACCTCCGGCCTGGCACGGGCCTGGCACTGGGCATGCCTGAGCCACCCCCATCCAGGGGTCGGGCCGGGGTGAGGATCCCCAGCCGGTAAGAGAACCTGCGACACGGGCGGGTGCACAGAGCAGGGCTTTATTGAAAGATACAGAACGGGACCAGGGTCCCTGCCACCAATGAAACAGCCTCCATCACCCCTCCTGCCTTGGCTCCCCGCCACCCCTCCCCAGCGCCGGCTCCCGGACAGCCAGTAACGCACGGGGTCTTACCCAGCCTCATGGCAGATGCCCAGAGGGCCTTCAGAGTTCAGCTCAGGAGTGGGGGGGGGGGGGCACAGACAGTCACAGCATCCGCCCACCTGCGCCCCAACGGCCCACGTCACTTGCAGCTCTGCAGCCGGGTCCTTGTGGTGCTTCTCCTGGGTCAGGAGGGGGATGACGGTGTCGCTGTGGGAAATCTTGAGCCGGCTGCCCCAGGCCCCCTCCTTGCCGGCCACGGGCTCCAGTGGTGGGAGGTTGTCCAGGTCGCCGAGGGAGCCCAGGGCCTTGCCCTCGCCCCCGCCGCCACCGGAGTTGAGCTCCATGAGCTCCAGCTCGTGCTTGGCCGCCGTCTCCAGGACGCGCTGCTTGTTGTAGTACCGGACGAAGTTGTTGATGATGGGGTGGATGGGGAGGGCGATGGCGATGACCCCGCACAGGAAGCTGATGGCCGCGTTCAGCTTGCCCAGCGTGGTCTTGGGGTAGATGTCACCGTAGCCCACGGTCGTCATGGTGATGATGGCCCACCAGAAGGACTGCGGGATGCTCTTGAACAGCGTCTCCGGGTGGCTCTGCTCCATGGTGTAGCCCAGGGCAGAGAAGACGAAGATGCCCACGGCCAGGTACATGAGCAGCAGCCCCAGCTCCTTGAAGCTGCGTTTGAGCGCGTAGGTGAGCGTCTGCAGGCCGGTGGAGTGGCGCGCCAGCTTGAAGATGCGGGCCACGCGCATGATGCGCAGCGCCTGCACGGCCTGCTGCACCTTGGTCAGCTCCATCATGCGCGCGCCCAGGTGCGTGAGCGTCAGGCTCACGTAGAAGGGCAGGATGGCCAGCACGTCCACGATGTTCATGAAGGACAGGACGAAGTGCAGCTTGTTGGGCGAGGCGAACAGGCGCAGCAGGTACTCCAGCGTGAACCAGCCGATGCACGCCGTCTCCACGCTCTCCAGCGTCGGGTGCTCCACGCGGCTGCCCTCGGCGTCCAGCACCTGCAGCTCGGGGATGGTGCCCATGCACATGACCATGGACGAGAGGAGGATGAGCAGGAAGGACAGCACGGCCACGGCGCGCGCGGGGCGCGAGGACTCGGGCTTCTCCAGGAACTTCCAGACGCGCTGCTGGCAGCGGCGCCAGCGCCCCGCGGCCGCGTCCAGGCCCAGGTCGTCCAGGATGAGCTGCACGCGGCGCGCGATCTCCTCCAGCTCCTCGCGCTTCTCGCGCAGGTGGCTGCGGCAGCACTGGTCCAGGAACTTGAGGTCCACCTTCCAGAAGTCCATCTCGCCCTTGAAGCAGATGGGGCAGATGCCCTTCTTCATGTGCACCTCCCCGAAATAGTACACCTCCAGGACGCACTTGAAGGCGTCCGGGTCGCGGTCGAAGTAGAAACTCGCGCTTCCCGGGGGTCGTAGTCGTCGCACAGGGAGAAGATGCTGTCGTAGCCGCCAGCCAGGCAGGTCAAGCAGCTCCCGCCAGCCGGGTCTCGGGATACCGGCTGAGCAGGTCTCCGTACAGCACCTGCCGGAACGCCCCCCCACGTTTCACCACGATCTTCCACGTCGGTCGCCCCACCCCGGGGAGCCCTGGGCTGCCTGGCTTCCGGGAGGCTTGCGCTTCCCCGGGTTTCGTCCATTTCTTCTCGG